CACGTGCGTTCAGTTCGGGGACTACGTCAAGCCTACCAAAATCTAAATGCGCTCCGTGCTGTTGCTAATTTGTTTGTGGGAATAGGGTCACCCGGGCAAATGATTGTCGAAGTTCATTTTGCATTTGAATTCCTGCGATTCTGAATAAGTAGTAGGGTCGTGGAATAGATTGATGCAAGCATTTTGTCGTTTTTCCATTTACTTTGATTATGCAGGGTTATATCTGCAGTCCGCCTACTTTGTTTGTGCTTATGACACAATACATTTCTCACATTTTTTTGCACAAATATCTAGTGAAATTGTAGGTGGATAAGTACGAACCGCTTCTTGACGTTGAGTGTGGCGAGGTTCGAGAAGACGCGGAAATAGCGGCTAGTGCCGATCGACCGTATGAAATATGGTTGGACACGGAAGGCACAAAAATTGAAGCTGATAACGATGTCAACGTTTTCCAGTCTTTTCTTGATCAACAGCCGAGCAAGGTAACTATTATAGAATACCATAATTTTCACTGGGATGTTTTTTCTTCATTCTTTCTTCGTTTTTTTTTGTCAATTTTCCAAATTGGATGTGTTCCCCCGTCAGTGAATTTGCGGGGGGGGGGGGAATTTCCAAGGAAGGTGTTGCTCACCAATTGCAAGTGACCTGTCGCACAAGCTGAAGCTTCACCTTGTACCCGTGTTCCGAGACTACAGGACCGGAATGTGGATCACGGTACGAAATCGCATCGACAATGCACGAGGGGCTAGCAAACCCGAATCTTCCTTCTCCCTAGCGTTAGTCCCGCGCAGTCGCAGGGTCCGCTGGGTTAGCAAACCCGATGGACTGAAGCAAATCTATTAGCTGTGAACGGAAGCGAATTTCGATGCTCAGCATGATTGTAATTTTTCCTTCCTATTTTTTATTTCCGTCTTTTCAGTTACATCGGCGAGCTATTTCCTATGTGATCAACACTGTCGGCTTATTAATCACAAAAATTGGTATGGAGTCATTTCCGAGGTAATTAATATCCTTCTCGTTTGAACTATATTAGAAAGCGTTTGATCCATATTAGAAAGTGGTGATGGAAAAAAGTGTGGTAGATGCGCTAGCTCGCAGATGTCATTTTCATGATTTACCCACCGTATTAAGCGTGTCGGAACGAGCTATTGGCCAGCTAGCCGCGTTGGTGGAACAGGACATTTCCCCGGTCACAGCTGGACAACTTGTTCAAATTGCAGCGCTGTTCATCTATGCAGTACATTGCAATCAATAATGGAATTGCTGGTAAGTTGATTGAGACTTATGCTGTTTGTTCTTTTTTCTATAGTTCATTGTCTTACTACCGTGCCCATGCTCTGCTATGTCTTCCTAAATTCTCCGGAACAACCAAAGGGGCCACGTCGTCGCTATGTCACAGCACATTCTGAGTTCTCTGTCATTTGCGAACTTCCTGACAGCGCCACACTCTACCAGATTGTCTACTCATTATATCCAATATCATTTCTCACTTTAATTTAAAGATGGTCGCACATCGCAAACAACATTTCCCCTATTTGTGAGCATTACTCATTTTAAGAAGAATATGTTGTTTGACCCTTCAACTAGCTTCAGGAGATGAGGACGTGTGCAGTGTTCAACAGCAGCAAGCAGTTCACGCTCTTGTCAGTGTGTTTGAGTATTTCTGCGTCCGATAGATCTGAGGCTCGCTGATGTCAATTCATGGATCAAAGGCTCCTCTGAAGTGCCACTGGTTGTAAGTTTCTTCCCTTTTTTTTTACTTATAAGGTATCTTTCATCATATTCTATGCATGCGTTGCTTATACTTACAAGACGGCAGCCACGTCGTGACCAGAGAGTTTTCGGTTTTCGATGTAATTGTTTGAAGTGTGAACAATTGGTTGGTCATGGCATCCATCTCGTTTGTGTAACTTGATCGTCCGACAGATTCTTTCATTACAGTTGCACATATTTGCTAGACATCCAAAGTGCAGATTGAGAAAGGACAACTACAGCTGAATATCAAAAGGAAACCACACTCATGTAAGTTAAAGGAATCTTCCACGGACCATGGACCAGTGGGCGGGACCGGAAGTTTTTGTGACGAAATGCATGGTAGGTACGGATCCACGTGTCGAACGCACGAACGTGAACAGGATTCACTTCAAACCTTCCCATGAACGTGGATCCGTACCTACCATGCATTTCGTCGCAAAACCACTTCCGGTCCCGCCCACTGGTCCATGGTCCGTGGAAGATTCCTTTAATTCCATAGTTTGTTTCCTTCTCATTCTGGCTTTTCGGATGTCTAGCAAAAATATGTGAAACTGTAATGAAAGAAACTGCGATTTAAAATTTTAGATGAGATTTCGGAAATGATTGCAAGAAACAGTTCCACCTTTTGGTTGACCCGTGTGATCTGACTGTGATTCGTTTCTAATGAAGGATATTCAGGTGTCACGTGTACTGCCAGCGTTTGTGCTTGTGAGTGGCTTCTCTTGGTCCACAAGCGCAGCCATATACCGGGACACGATGCCATCGGTCAGCATTTGCGACGTCCATAGTGACATTTGACAACCTGGCATCTACTTGGCAAGAAACACATCGCCCATGTGCTCGGCTTCGCCATGCAGGATGGTGCGAAATGGTGAAACATAGAACACATAATGCAGGTATGACTTGAAAGAGAGTTCTACGGCATAATCCCATTCAGGTGAAGATGTCATTTCGCCACCCAATGAATCCCAATATCTCAAGTTTAGATGTTATTTCCAGAACCAGATTGAATCAAATATCTCCATTCAGGCTCGCCAACCCCCACGTGCTCTTGCCTGAGCTGCATATTTGTCATGCGCTTCTGCAACCCGTGTTTCCATCGTTTCCTCGAATACTTCGCTACACCGATGCGAACAATGAAACAGCGGACTCGGTATGTGACGATTTTAATTTAGAATTCTGCCTTTATCTCTTGACCGCATTGATCTGCTCGAATCGATTTTACCGTTGATGTCTTTAGCTGATACCGGTTCAAATACGTCTAGCGCAACTTCTGCTGGCCGCTGAGTATTTAGACGGCTCTGATCTGTCATGTTTTTTCTTTTGCGAGAAAACGGGACGATTCAAGCGAAGTGACCATGTTGAAGGTGATCTGAGAGAGCGTTCCAAAAGCCATACATGCTCAACGAACTGAGGTAATTTCTTGACTCCTTCCATTAATAGAAGGGCTAAGGCTGAAACACTTGTAAAATTGAGTTTCCTGTCAGGAGTCGCCAAGGGTTCCAACACCATTGACAAGGGAAGAGTTGCTCGCCGCCGAACAATCGCAAAGCACGACCAGTTGTAGTGTGAAGATTTCACAGACATTTCATACGTGTTATGAAAGAAGATAACAATGTAGCGGCATTTTACGATATGCTTACTAGTTTAGGTGAAACCAGTCTATTTGGTTATTGATACGAACGCTTTCATTGATCAGTTGAGCGCTATTCAGAAAATTCTGCAGTGCGAACGTTTTCGAGTACTGATTCCAACGACAGGTGTGTTCAGTTCTTGTTGTGCATGAGAGCACCAAGTCTTGATTGACTCTCAGGGACAAATTTTCCCCACTTACCACCACTTTTTTACGAGAAGAGTTTCAGTGATGGAAGAGCTAATTGATCTACAACATGGTGAACTAAGAAGTTCGCGAGTACAAGGAACCGACCGAAGGTGCACGACAAGCAGTGACGTGGTTACGTGAGCAGACCAGGCAGAAGAACGCACGTCTGTTCACGTTGACGATGCGTGGACGCCGACTGCCGATCGCGGTGGTTCGAGAAGAAGCCGGTGACGATGGTGAAGTGGTACGTTATATTTACTGTCTTTTCATAGCTACTGAGACCTGCCTGGTTCACCAGAAAGTCACCTACTACGGTACTTGTAGCGAGACAGTTTCATTTTTAGCATCGTCATAGGAGTTCCCTTAGGTTCCAAAAAATATAAATCTTGGTTTGGTATGGTTTCTGGATCCTCAATCGGTTGGCCCGAGTGAAAATCAATTGCTTACTGGCCTCGTGATCGTTGTAATTTTGGACCACTGATTCTTGTGATTGCGAAGCGGTGGCTAGTTTTTGCTCGGCCTTGTTTTTGAAGGCACATTCCACGATTACCTAGGTATTCATTGTTACTCTGAATATTGACTAGATGTGGGTAGGTGTGATAGTTGGTCTCCTACTAATGAGGCAAGCAAAACTAAAAGACATTTTGGGTTGGTGGCTTGCCACTTTTTATTGGTTTACCGTTTTTTATTGCCTCCTTTCTTGTTACGATAAAAGGATAAGGATAAAGCATTTGCCGTTGATCAATCCCTTTTTGGGATGCGGCACGCATTCTACTTCCATTTGTACATTCGTAGTGGCGTTTGAATGCGATGTGGCCTATACAATGACTTGCGGGGGCCAGCCGATGTACAAGTCAGTGTTTTTATCCTCCCAGACAAGTCTGGTACCAATTAACCGACCCCGGAGGGATGGAAGGCTTGGTTGGCCCGGGCGACTCACGACCCAGGATTTGATCCCCGGACCGCTCGCGTGGTAAGCGTGCCACTTGCCACTACACCACTTCCGCCCCTTTTTACATAAGCAATAAAGGGGGTGGGGAGGGTGGTGGAGGCTAGCTAGTGAGAAAGCCGTAATCTCTGCCCTCACGGTCAACATGGAACGTGCCTTGCTGCATGTTAGCGGTAATGATGAGCGCTTCAAGGCGGTGCATTTAAGCCATGTCTCAAGCGCACGGTTACCGCTTGAAACGGCCCTGATGAAATATTTTGGACTAGGCATTCGTTCAAAGTTGTGCGGAGGGCTGGTTAAGCATCGCTCTATTTGGATTGCTTTCGAATGTGATGGCCCTGTTAGTTTTCTGTACTTTCAGAAGATCAAGCTTAAGGAACTTTATTTTAGGTGAACGACGATCGTATCCTGCGATCATGTGTGAATTTCACTCAATCAGAACCTGCACCCGAGTCGCTGTTTAGCGATGTCAAAGTACCGCAAGGTCGAGAAACGCCGAACATTTACCGTAACCTTGTGCTGCTGACCGAGGATCGAGTGTTGAACATGAAAGCGATGAGTCAGCACATTCCATGCCGAACAATGGTTCGCTTTATGAAATGGGCCAAAATCAGTTAGGCCTGCACGACCGCTCGCTATTCGCCCGTCGTGGCTTCACTTGCCGGCTTTTCGCCGTAGTCGCCTAGAAAGGGATTGCAATCGGTGACGAAGGCACCTATCGAACAGCAGTCGACTTTCTGGTGTTTTTTACTCGATGACACTCTCTTACTGTCTTACGGGGAGCGCCGTGTCAGTCTAATGTGTCCACAGTACAATTTCATCCTCCAATTGAGCATTGATTTCCGGAATCGGCTCCGAGGAATTGCCGCCAACTTTTTGGTTTACCAAGTTGTAGCTACGCTCAGCGAGTATAACTAACGTATCCTACTAATTGCACATCTGATTAGTGTGTACGTTAAATGAGCATGGCTATGACTTTCAGATAAATTGCGAGAATAGTTTCGGTTTGTTTTAATGTGATCTTACGTTCTGTGTTATTTTTCGAACCTTACCGTTAGCGGTCTGTGAGCCGGTCATCGTTGTTGTGCAGGTAGTATGAAGAACTCACCGCAATCCAGCCGAATCGATCATGTTTTGTCGAACCTGTTGTCATAGCGGGTAGTTTGGCATCCATGCTTCAAGCAGGGCTTGCTCACAGCCAGAATCAAGTTGTGGTCGTTGGAATGTGTGTATAGTGTTGATGTTTAGCCGTCTAGATAGAAAAAAAACAAAAAAAAAAAAAAAAGAAACCAAAAAGAAAATAGATCAGCTCTAGCTTTGCTTGAGCCTGGCTGTAAAGCTGATTCTGTTATAGATGGTCTCAAAGCCACGCTGCCTTTCTAGTCAAAGTCCGTTTTAACAGTTGATTGGACCCACAATCGCAGCTGTGATTGAATTGCAAAGGGGTCCAGTAATTCTCGAATTGTTCCATTATCGCCCCCAGTTTTATTTTTCTTTTATTTTTGTTTACGCGAAAACGATAACGATATGCTCATTCGAATTCGAATACAGTAGATGTATTAGGTTGATCCCTTGATCGCTAAGATCCTTTGTTAGATTTGTGATTATTGTGTTGATCCACACAGTGATAACGAGCTATAATGACTCCATTAACTCCCATAGAATTCGTTCATAAGAACTACTTTGTCCTCGTACTGAGATGAATCCTTCAGAAAAGTCCGACAATTGTATAATTATAGGTCACACCGTAGCGACATCGACATTCCTCCGCCATCTCACCTGGGTGTTCGTCTCGGCCGCTTGTCACCCACAGGCCTGTCCGGCCTGCATTCGAATGCCCGTGTTCACTCAGCTCACCAAAAGCTGGCCAGGCTCCACCGCCTGCGAGGAATCTTTGAGCGAATTGTAGACAGTCGAATCCGGGACATCGTTGATCTGACCACCAACCAGTGTGGTTTCGTGGCTGGCTGCAGCACCATCGATGCCATCCACGCCGCTCGCCTCTTGCTAGAGAAACATCGCGAAAAACAAAGACCGGTGCATTTGGCCTTCCTAGACTTGGAGAAGGCTTTCGATCGCGTTCCGCGTGAGGTTATATGGTATGCCTTACGGCAACATGGCGTTCCCGAAGAGCTTATTGAGTGGGTGCGCATTCTCTATTCGAGTCCAAAGAGCCGGGTGCAAACGGCAGCAGGCACTTCGATGGATTTTCCCATCTCTGTCGGGGTACACCAAGGCTCTGCGCTGTCCCCACTCCTATTTGTTGTCGTCATGGATGCCATTTCGAGAGACATTCAGAAGCCGGTTCCATGGACGCTTCTTTATGCTGATGATGTAATGCTCGCCAGCGAAGATAAAAGCACTCTCGAGCAACAAGTGCAAACCTGGTCCGACCGCCTGGCTATGTTCGGGCTCAGGTTGAACGTCAAAAAGACCGAGTACTTGACCACCGATTCGTGTGAGCCAGGCTCTATCAATATCAATGGTACTGAGCTTACACGTACAACGACATTCAAGTATCTTGGATCAGCAATCGCGGCTGATGGCAGTCTGGCTTCTGAAGCGAATTCTCGCGTGAGTGCAGCGTGGTCGAAATGGCGCGCAATGACTGGCGTTCTGTGCGATAAGAACATACCAGAACGGCTCAAATCTAAGATCTATAGAACCGTCATCCGGCCAGTCGCGATTTACGGTGCCGAATGCTGGCCTGCGACTAAAGAAGTCGAAGCCCGTCTCAGTGTGATGGAGACAAAGATGCTGCGTTGGACAGCTGGAGTCACTCGACTAGACCACATTCGAAACGAAGTCATCAGAGAACGATTCGGTGTGGCTCCAATTGCCGACAAGATGCGCGAAGCCCGTCTTCGATGGTACGGTCATGTTCTTCGTGCAAAAGATGACAGTGTCCGTAAGATCAGCTTCAGCCTTGACGTGTCCGGAAAACGGCCTAAGGGACGCCCGAAACAGCGCTGGCTCGATACGTTGCACACAGACTTGAAGTCGGTTAACATACACCCCGACCAAGCATTTAATCGGGAAAAGTGGCGTCAGCATATCAGAAAAGCGGACCCCGCCAACAAACGGGACAAACGCTGAAGAATAAGAAGAAGAAGAAGAAGGTCAGACGGTAGCATACTATCACCGAAAGACGTCTTCAGTTTCAAGGCAGTAACGCAGTAATTAAATCAGCGATTACGATAATATTAAGGAGCCGCATTAGGAATTACATATGCACTCACCATCGACATCACTACTGGATGCCAGAGAAGGAGATTAGCGCTTATTTCACGGAGGAAACTTTGCGTGCAGGCGCTGCAGGTGACCTTTCCAAAGCTCACTCGCCTCAAGAGTGATCCGCCCACTAGTTAAGTTGGTGGTTTGTGACGAGTATCACTGCCAGCAGCGGCACAAAACACCCAACTTAGCAGGAGCAGCTCGATTGGAGTACGGTTAGGCAGTGTTACCAAACACGTTGCGCTAAACTCTTTCATATGCCCGCTTCCTGAGCTGTCCGCCTGTTCATGTGGGAAAACTAACGGCCAAAAAGGGGGTCCTATTTTGGCGTTCTTTTAACGGTTTCATCCGCTTTTTTCGGCACCGACGTACCGTTGAGCACCATGACGTAACTTTATAATACTTCTTGAACCTAGCGTAATCGCTGCTTAAAGCAACGATTCCTCGAATTCGTGTGTACAGAACGGCTTCGATACATGAAAGTAGATTGGCGAATGACTGATAATGCAAATAAAGCATAGAAACCACTAATCGAAGCCTTTAAACAGGGACTCTTCTCTCTCTCTGCGAAGTGAAAGAGGAAAACGGCCGTTGTCGCAGCGAGCTGTCTGAACCTAGCTGCTCCGCCGGCATTACATTGGGCTGGTCTGTCCAGTGCCCCTAGAACCTTTCCTTCTCTAGGAGCCGACGGGTTAGCATGCAGGGTTCATTCTTGCTCGACACGTCGCTGTTCACTGGACGATACAATAAATCATTCATATGTTAAGCCTCCCTGCCTTTGTATACCGCAGAACCACCATAGTCAGACTGAACCCCTATACTACACATGTCAACATTGCGTAATAATAACAGCAATAATATAATAGACAGCAAGGTACCTTTTTGCACGGTAAATATTTACACGACTCGTAAAGCTAAAGTAAGCTTCGCAGGAGCCATGTAGAGCGAGCTAGAAGGACTTTGGCTCAGAACTTTATTCGCTACTTTCAGAAGCTCAGTGGCGTGCAATCTTAAAAAACACTCGGCACCAAATCGCGTCAACTGCCCTTCGCACGGCTTCTCCCTTATGGGTAAATCGCAGTTTCCGACATGGGCACTGCAGTGTTGAATAATGTTTCCCCTCTCTGACGATAGTGGATAAAATCGGTGAGTTTACGAATTATAATTATAGTAATTTGCACGCCCGAGCTACCTAATGCTCCGCAATAAGAGAGCTGACCTCATAATATGAGACCCCAAGCAGAACTCCCACCAAGCCAGTAGCGATTTGTAATCGATTTAACAAGTACTCCTGCTCAAGACCTCGACAGGAAATATGTTCAGTGAGTGGACTTAGCTCAGAAGGACAGCGAAAAATGGAGCAGACTGACCCGCCAATTGCATGCGCTATGTCTTCCCATAAGTGTTCCTTGTGTAGTTCTTATTTGTATTTGTTTCTTCTGCCGTTCGAGGTTGATAGGTGGAACATTTATTTGATCGGCCTAACGTTTCGACAAAATCGTCGTCTTCTGAGGCCTAAACGCGGTTCAAGGTTGAAATTCACGATCTAATCTCCTCTAGCGGTTCGCGAACTGTCCTATCGGAATCACCGAGAACATAAGCAAATACCAATTTCGACTCACTCAAGGCTCCACCGTTTGTGCGGGAATCCCGCTTCTACACAAATGCGTCGGTCAGTAAGAAATAAGTAATTAATTTATTTAAGAATAAATAATTAGTTTTTATTAGTTTTTTGTACATAACACTATGTCACGCTCTCACAACACTTACAACCACTAGCTTACAAAAAAAATTAATTTAATCTTGGAATATGAACATTATCGAATGTTGAGCTACCTGCAATACATCGGGTTAATGAGTGAAAGACTTCAAATAATACACAAGTAACGCAACGCGAACTGAGGCGTAAAACAGCAATTATCCAACAAAAACAAGTCCAAAATAAAAAGTATACGAATCTAATTGAGCTTTCAAATTTGTGGTTCATTGCCGAAATCAGCTAATCTGTTCACCATGTTATACGTGTGAACGCTAATAAGCTATGGTATCTTTACCATCGAAGCTGAGTTGGGGTTAGATGGTGTCCTGGTGGTGAAACTGGCAGCAGAATTGCCGGAAAGGAAGAAATCCGGCTACGAATCCCGGCTGGGGCGGAAGTTTTGCCCCAACTCAGCATTCTTCTCTGATAAACGTTGCAACACCTGAATTCAGGCGTGAAACAGCAGTTATCAAACAAAAACAAGTGAAAAATACTAACACACAAGGAAATCTTTCGGTATTGAATGGATAAAGCCTTCCAGCCAAAATAGCAACCGGCACAAAAATTCCATACTTCCGCTGGTGCTTCCGAAGGACAAACCCGTAACGGTATCTACAAACAGAGTATGACTTGTCTCAGAGGACAGAGCAACACTTTAGCATCAGATAAAGCATTCGCTCTTACTTCTGCTGATCGAGCTGCCAGCCAAGATGGAGCCAGGTGTATCACAAGCACATCTATTAGAGATGCGAGTCTCGTACCCTAAACGATGTCGAGAACATCAGGTGCGACCGAACAGACTGGCCCACGGATATTACATAAGAATCGAAACAAGAATGTGAAAATCGAACTTTTTCTCGTAGCATTCACGCAAAACTCACCACCAAGCGGTGTCGAGATCTATGCTGATGTTCTATAAGTTTCGTCAACCTTTCGAAGAAACGTCGCGAAACAAGGCGAAATGGAATTGTTTGGTCCATCGCTCGAGTTCCTGAACATGTGGGATTTAGGTGGTGGAGAAGGCTCATCGGGTTTGAGCTCAGTGACGCCTCAGCAACCGCGCGACCAAGAAACCTGTAGTCGCCATTAAGCTGAATCATAACGGTCCGCGGCTTCGTCTTTCTCATGAGGCAGTGTTGGGCACTGCATGAAAGCGTTTTTGCCGTATGGAAACTACTTTCCGCGGGGTGACGAATATCTGCTCAGTATTCTAATGAAATGAACACCTTTACGTGGGAATGCTGAGGGGTATGAAACACTTATCGCACTTCATCTCGAGAAGGAAGTAAGTTTTGCAAGTGCGTCAGTGCCAAATGGTTGGATTGCTATTGTACAGTACATACCCTCCCTCCAAAAAACGAAAAGCGTCGGGTGCACAGCATACACCACATGTTGACACGGCGCGCGACGAAAAGAGTTAGATTGACACCCCGACACGGAAAATTAATTGGTTGCAATTGTATTCTATCAGCTATTTAATTCTACTTCACTCGTCATCATTTTATTCAGGTGAGTTATTTGTGATTGCAGTAAGACATGCTTTTCAGGCGTTGTCAATGATTTCACTGCTACCATCGAATGCTGTCGTGGTGAGCTTCGCAAATTTTATATATTATGTCGAGTTCTGTTACTACAAATAACTCAAATGAATAAAATGATAACGAGCGAAGTAGAATTATAGAGATGGTCAATAGAATACATACCAATTAATTTATACGCTCTTTCTGTCACCAGCACTCGAAACTGAGTATGCGGCCAATTCCTTTTCATGTCTACTAGTGGCTTACCCGTACACTTGCCTTGCTTGCCGTTTCCACGAGGGTGGTCGGTATACCCGTGTTTCGAAGTTGCGGCAAGTACCTATGACCCCGCATGTGGCGAGCGGGCATCATTGCCGACTGATGCAGGCTCGTGCTATAGGTAGCTTCTGGGTTCTGACATGTCTGGCGATTGCGGCATGACTCACCATCATGTGCTTTTGAGCTGGTCGGAAAACATCTACCATACGATTCCGATACAGCGCAAGTTTCCCACCTAGTTCCAACTTTTTACAATATCAGAAGCAGTTCCCGACCCACTCGACGGGCAAATTTGCGTCTTGTGGCATCCCACTTCACTCTATCTCATCTCCTTCTCATCTATATGACATTACCTTATTTCTGGTCCTCGTTTGCTAATTATTGAGTTTCTCGTTGCTACTTTTCTTTTTTTGTTGTTATTTCATAGTTGTTAGAATTATATTACTCGGCCATCCTTGCCCCAACTTAGTATGTCATGGTTCTAGCGCGTTCAATAACGCATAAATAAATAAATAAATAAATTTCCTTGTCGGTTTTCAGCTGCCACGTTCTCGCAGACGCCGCCAGTTGTGGTGTGTAGTCTGGCATCCGACGCTTTCTTCTTTTTGAAGGGAGGGTATCTCAACTTATGATTAGGCGAGTCTACAGATTTGACGTGGTGGCCACCGCACTGCCTCCCGAAGTCGCGCGGATATGCTGCCTCCAGCAACTTCTTTAAATCAGCAAAACATGCTGTACACAGCTTATTCACACGACCTCCATCAAGTGAGGCTGCCGCCACGTCAAACCTGTGGACCCGCCTAATCAGACGGCGAAACTGAACTATGGACTGTACATGATATCGCTACAATGCTATTTTGCTCAAATGTTGCAAAGTCGGATTCACGCCACACAACCAAGCTATTCAAGGATGTTCAACGAATTGTTTTCCTATAGCAGTTCCCGATTATGACGCCCTTCTAGTCTCTGCAATGAAAAACCATGACCTCTCAGTACAACGTTTCGTTGACGTGGTCATTTTCATCATATAGGGCACACAGGTCCAGACTCGCTCTCGTCGCTTAGTCAGATGAAATCTCGAAGATCGAAGAATATCAGCCGTGAAAACCCTGATTTATGCCGACTGGGTAATGTATTTTCTGGTTCTGTATTTTAACACAACTAGGAAAGGAAGGAAAGGAATTGAAAGGCAGAAAAAGTGGTTTTAAGTGGTCCAGAGAATCTCACCATGAAACTGGTAAAATGCCAGAGCTGGCTGTTGTGGGCGGGCTTTTTGACTGCCACATTGGTATTTGTCACGACCACTGACCAACGAATGACGCGCGCGGTGGGCTAACCTGACACAGTCGCAATACCTGGTATGCACCACTACTACATAGCTATTCGTCGAGCAATCACTGAGACGTCACGCAGTATGTACGCATTCCGTAAATTTTTCACGGAGGAATTAACTCCAAGCCTCACAACGAACCCTTCGTGCACACTAACTTTTGCTAACTCACAATGTAAGGTAGGCCTGTCGTGACAGCTGCGATTGAGGCAGCCATGTTTCCCTTGTAAGCTCGTTCCTTGGAGTGAGCAACAGTACGCTTCTGGCTTTCCCATCGTTCCTCATGTGGATGGATTTATGCAGCATCGTTCGCAAGTGAATTTAACAACTGCAACAGTTCCTACGACGGTTAGTCGTGCTGCTATCCAACTTATGACCACACTGAGGACAGAATCGGAACAACTTCATCAGCTCCCCTCCGTTGACGAAGAAATACTGCCCTAACACCGTCCGTTGCGTTTCTTGGCAATATTCACTTGTCGAGGAAGATTCCGACACGTTATCGGGTACGAGACCCTCTTCGCTCTAAAAAAATACATCTTTAGATACATGATTGGTGCCTTAGCGACAGCATTATAATGTCTACCATCTTGGAAGAGAAACAAATTTTCTCTTTGTCATCACTATCAGTCCATAAGCTTTCCTTTACTATACTTGGACCAGGCATTTCAGGAACAGTCAGTGTTTCGCCACCGTCTTCATCCACCTTTACCACATTTCCATTGATGACCTAGAATTGATATTGGTAAAATATTTATGCTATTCCCAGCTCACAAATAATGATACCTCTACTGTTGATGGCCATATTGTCGCTAAATCGTAAACCTTGAAAGCGACATTGAGAAATCTGCTCACATCTCGAGATGTAAGGCAAGCGATACCCTGAAATTGCATCTTTAGCATACATAATTTCGATGATATCAGGTCGAGAAAAAGTTCAGAATAAGCTTTGATCTTTGCTTTAAGAGCTCACACTTTATCACGAAACAACCTCGGTCCATTTCAAAGATTTAGCATAGTACACAACAAAGTTCAACGAAAAGACAGCCTCTCGATTATTATAGCCCAGCACGTTC